AATTGAACCTACCTTTCAGTCCACAGGCCGATGCTCTATCCACTGAGCCAAACTGGCTAGGGCTCTACTTTTATGTCTGCAAATTTCATAATAAAATGCTAAAGCAAATTCCACCTGTTAGAAGCAGGGATTGGTGAAATTAACACCAAGTTTTACGGTAGGCACAGATTATTTGCTGGTGATCTGTGGATGAGTTGAATTTTTCTCAGTGTTGGTAGAAAGATAGTTGCTGACATTTACAAATCGAAGGAATTCACATTAAAATTTTGATTTTCAGCCCAGCCAGTGTGGCTCAATGGTTGAACATTGACCTATGAACCAGGAGGTCACTTCAATTCCCAGTCAGGGCACATGCCCCGGTTGTGGGCTCGATCCCCAGTGGGGGACATGCGGGAGGCAGCCAGTCCATTATTCTCTTTCATTGTTGTTTCCATCTCTCCTCTCCCTTCCTTTCTCTATAAATCAATAAAAACATATTTTTTAAAGATCAATGGAAAAGCCCGGCCAGCGTGGCTCAGTGGCTGAGCATCGACCTATGAACCAGGAGGTCACGGTTCGGTTCCAGGTCAGGGCACATGCCCCTGTTGCGGGCTCATCCCCAGTGTGGGGCATGCAGGAGGCAGCCGATTGATGATTCTCTCTCATCCTTGATGTTTCTACCTCTTTCTCCCTCTCCCTTCCTCTCTGAAATCAATAAAAATATATTTTAAAAAAAAATCAATGGAAAAAATATCCTCAGGTGAGGATTAAAGAAAAAAATGTCATGCCTGACCAGTTTGGCTCAGTGGATAGAGCCTCGGCCTGCGGACTGAAGGGTCCCGGGTTCGATTCCGGTCAAGGGCATGAACCTTGGTTGCAGGCACATCCCCAGTGGGGGGTGTGCAGGAGGCAGCTGATCGATGTTTCTCTCTCATCGATATTTCTAACTCTCTATCCCTCTCCCTTCCTCTCTGTAAAAAATCAATAAAATATATTAAAAAATAAGACATATAATCTTTAAATGGAGCAAAATCTCCCTCAGTTTTGGCTCCGTTAGTCCTTGTAACTGGTTCTCCCATCCATGTGGAGAACGTGCAGGAGTCAGCCAATCAATGATTCTCTCTCATCATTGATGTTTCTCTCTCTTTCCCTCTCCCTTCCTCTATGAAATCAATAAAGATATATATATTTTTTTAAATGTCAGCTCAGTGACCTCATCTGACTTGTTTACTGCTGTACCTATCCCCTGTTCCCAGGCACACAGCAGGTGCTCAGTAAATATTTGTTGAGTTAATAAGGATAAAAGATCTCAAAATTGCAGATGCTCAGAGATTGAGCACTTCAGACTCTGAAATGCATCAACCTTCAGGTTAAGGAAGGCCCTTGGAGTCAAGCCCACTACCCTTCTTACACAGTTGGGGAAACTGAGGCCCAGAGAGGGCTGGTGGTGGACCAGGGCTGCCTCAATCTTGCCTCCATTGTTGCTTGTTACCTCTACCCTGCCAGCCCCCCAGAGAGACTCACTCGAGGCTGACAACAGGGGTAGCTAAACAGGTGGACTTTGCCGAAGTCATCAGCTGAAGCCAGCAACTTGCCATCATGGGAGCGAGCTACGGCGTTGATGTCAGTACCATCTGCTCCCTCGGACCAGATCCCTGTGGGCAAGATAGGGGGGAGTTGATGGTAAGATGTCAGCAGGAGCCAGGGACCCCCCTCCCTCCCCCCCCGCTCAAAGAGGAACAGGTCCCGGCCCCAGTCCCCCACCTTCCTTTCACTTAGCCTGTCTCTAGCCAGGGATGGGAGTCAGAATGATCTTTTGGAAATGTGACCCTGTCCCCCCAGTGCTCAGAATCCTTTGTGGCTCCCTGGTGGCCTCAGGAGAAAGCCCTGGCTTCTTACCGTGATCCCCCAAGCTCTGCCTGGCCTGGTCCCCCCACTGCTCCAGCCTTGTCCTCACTAGTGCTCCCCTGGAACTCTGCAATGATTTAGCCTTCTTGCATTTCTCCAAATTCCAAGGTCTGTGTCACCTCTGGGCCTCTGTACGTGCTATTATGCCCTTTGCCTAGAGCAGTGGTCGGCAAACCGCGGCTTGCGAGCCACATGCGGCTCTTTGGCCCCTTGAGTGTGGCTCTTCCACAAAATACCACGTGCGGGCGCACACGTACAGTGCGATTGAAACTTTGTGGCCCATGCACAGAAGTCAGTTTTCAGCCTGGGCGAGTCTATTTTGAAGAAGTGGCGTTAGAAGAAGTGGGGGGTGTCGGTCGGTCGGTCGGCTGCGGGATACACAGTGCGGGGGAGGCGTTCGCGATTCATGCACGAGTTGAGGATGGGAGAGTTGGAAGGGGTTGACCTCAGCGAACGTACCTCCATCAGATTGAGGACGTTTTTAGCAAAGGCCAGCTTAGGAGTACCCTAATTAAGTTAATAACAATGTACCTACCTATATAGTTTAAGTTTAAAAAATTTGGCTCTCAAAAGAAATTTCAATCGTTGTACTGTTGATATTTGGCTCTGTTGACTAATGAGTTTGCCGACCACTGCCCTAACGACTTTGCCGAAGTCATCAGCTGAAGCCAGCAACTTGCCATCATGGGAGCGAGCTACGGCGTTGATGTCAGTACCATCTGCTCCCTCGGACCAGATCCCTGTGGGCAAGATAGGGGGGAGTTGGTGGTAAGATGTCAGCAGGAGCCAGGGACCCCCCCCCCCAAAGAGGAACAGGTCCCGGCCCAGTCCCCCACCTTCCTTTCACTCAGCCTGTCTCTAGCCAGGGATGGGAGTCAGAATAATCTTTTGGAAATGTGGATCTGACCCTGACCCCGCAGTGCTCAGAATCCTTCATGGCTCGCTGGTGGCCTCGGGAGAAAGCCCAGGCTTCTTACCGTGATCCCCCAAGCTCTGCCTGGCCTGGTCCCCCCACTGCTCCAGCCTTGTCCTCACTAGTGCTCCCCTGGAACTCTGCAATGATTTAGCCTTCTTGCATTTCTCCAAATTCCAAGCTCTGTGTCACCTCTGGGCCTCTGTACGTGCTATTATGCCCTTTGCCTAGAGCAGTGGTCGGCAAACCGCGGCT